TGGGGCCATGATCGGGTCCAGATAGTCGGCGGTGAGATTGTCCACGCAGAGCTCTAGAGTACGAAGACCCTGACCGACAAGATCCGAGCCAGCACGCAGAGCAACGACCAGTGGCCTCATCAAGTAACTGAGATGTGGCAACAAGTTACTGAGTCGTGCTGGCACTGTGAGAGATAGTTCAACGAAGAGATCCCTTTCAGCCGGCTTGCGCGCCGTCAAAAGAAGGTTGTTGAGCACGTCGAGTAGCATTTCCAGCAGGGGAAGAATTTCTTTGTACAGATGCTCGAATCTACCGCCACCAATACTTCTGAACAATGACCTAAGCAGGAGGAAGTAGTTCATGGGTTCTTCGGCAGTCGTGGATAGCTGAATCGACTTCGTTATGATCTTGCTGACGTGTGGTAATAGCACTTGCTCATTCTGGGCAGAGAAGAGCGTAACGGCCATGAAGGAAAGTTTGAAGAGGCGAAGGAGGATGGAGGACTTCTTCACATCGGCAGTGCCAACCTCTTCGATTCGGTCCATAAGAAATTGCAACAGCATCCCCGAAAAGCTGGGTGATGTAGCCTCGGAAGCGAGAAGGAACTGTGGAACGTGAAGTAACGCCGGGTGATCGAACATCATATCGTACAAATGGGGTATCTCGGATGAAAACACTTCGTGGAACGTGGCTGGATCGATGTGGTGGAAGACAGTCGCGAACGTCTCCAAAAGGTCCTTCTCTTCCTTGCCACTCGACATCATATGTTGGTTGCCCATGAAATCTCCCGGTGACAAGCCTTGTGTTTCAGGGGTCTTTTCAGTACCGTAGTAACGGAACACCTTGGCACCTTCGCGGAAAAGTTTGATAAGAACTTCCACCTCTTCCGCGTTGTAGCCAAACGACACTTCATGCCAGTTTGCAGACGCGTTGGTCGGATCAATCTCGTCCTTGATCTTGGCTGGGTTGCAGGCTCTTAGCTGATAGAAAAGATTCTTCAGCCCATGGAGTAGGTTCTTGAACAGGAACTTGTTGTCGGCGATGGGATCGGAGCTCCGGTCTCGTGGATTGGACGTCTTGATGGGTGTCGCGTTGGAAATGTCGATTTCGTCCCAATCCGGGGGGTTTTCCTGAACGGCCATGTGGTTCTCGTCGACCGCATCAATGGACGGTTGGCTGTACTGAGCTGAGAGCTTGACAGCATTGTGGTATTGTCGGTTCATTGCCGCGAACTTGTCACCGATGGCATTCAGTATCATGATCAAGAAGTATCGCGCGTCCTCCTTAGGTTCCAATTTCGCGATGCACTCTGCCATGTTCAGCAGAAGCTTCGCGCTCATGGTCTGGAAGCTGGTTCCGGGAAATGTGTCGTGCAAATTCTTCGTGTAAACCTCAACTGTGCGTCGGATCTGCTCTTTCGACAGAGATTCTCGCAGATGGTGGATTAGATCGGCCAGCATGCTGTATGCGAGCGGACGCATGGTCTCGTACACTGTCAGGCCATCTCCGATCAATGTCTTCTCGTCCAGTAGCTCGTCAATCTTCTTGAGGAAGATTTTGCGGAAGTTGAAGTTGATGATATGCCTAATAGCGACTAGTAGCTCTTTCCGTGCGCCGGACTTTTCGCGTGGACAGTCCTTGAGCAGTCGGACGACGATATCAGGAAGGGTCGGAAGGAAGTCGTTCAGCTGGTTTGCATACACCCTAAGTAGGTAAGCCAGAAAACTCATGGTTTTAACCTGAGCTGTTATGAAGTCGCCAAATGCCGCGCGGTTGCGAATGTCTTTGCTGACACCAGTGAAGATCTTGCCCTGCGCCTTGGCCTCCTCATGTGCCTTCTCTTGTGGCTTCGCCTGAAGCAAAAGTACGTTCTTGATCAGTGGTACAAAAAGTTTCACGTTTTTGTTCACACAGTTCCTGTAGGCCTGGAATAGAGATACCACAATTATTGGACACTCTGCGAGGACCTTGAACGACTGCATTCCCTTGAGCAGCATGCGCGTTTGCTGGTGTTCCGATCCAATATCCCCTGCGGATCCAGATGTGAGGGCAGTCGCTGGCGAGCTCGGGCGTGGGGACTGGGAGAATTGGTGGTTGTTCGGGGTGGAAGGAACGCCTTGCGAGGCTGAAGCTGTCGTGTTGCTGTCGAAGGTATCGTGCACCGCCTGCTCCATCGTCTCGAACATTTCCTGAATCAGATCCAAGAATGGCTGAACTCGGTCTGCGAGCGCCTTGGTTTGGTGGCGCTGAAAGTCCATGATGGTCTTCATGCACAGAACCGCATTGTCCTCGTTCTCCAGCTTCACCAAGCTCATGAGTTTGTCGACGATCTTGGCCGCGTGCGGTTCTATGGCTTCGGTCGGGTTCATCGGAAGACGGTGCAGGATCTCGAGGACACAGTTCCGTATGCGCTGTTTCTGAGTCAGAAGGCTGTAGAGTTGTCGCAAGTCGTGCGCTCACCTGTTCGGGCGACGTGGAAATGAAGACTGGGTTGCCATCTAATATCTTGAGGAACACAGGGACGAGGTGATTCAAGAACGAGGCGTACTGCTGTCCTTGACAGTAGTTCTCAATGTTGTCCCGGATTTCGATCGCCTGGGTGCCCTTGACTCTGAGATCTGCGCCAGTCAGCCGATGTTCTCTTGTGATGATGCGCGCGCATGTTGTGGGCATGCAGCGCGCGCAATGTATTGTGTACCAGAGTTTGGGTCGTCCAACTTGGAGGCCATAGCCTCGAAGTTGTGAGTCGCCATGGCGATGTTGCGTGCAGCCTACAGCCGCTCCTCCACCTTGTCGAAGTCCTCGTAGACTGTGCCCTGCAATGGCGCAGCTATCCAGTATGTGGCGCGATCAATGTAGCGGAAGACAGGCGCATTGGTCTCGGTGGCACGCGGTGGTGTGCGGAATCGGGTGCAGGTCGCTGCTGTGTCGAATATTAAATTTTGAAAAGGAAGGTGCAGGCGGGATGGCCTATATGGTCATTACAATCGTTATTGTGGAAGTGAGGCCTGGTGGTGGGGCGAGGGCGCGTCCCGAGTGCGGGTATGGAGTCGCGACTTGGAGTGATGGATGAGCTTCTGCAGAGCACTTAGCCTGGAGCTGACGAGCGAGGGAGGCACGCCGACCCCCAAAACTTAGCGCGTCGCTCTCATTGGTCGGCGCCACCCCTGTGCGCCGTGCGGGTGGCACCTTCCAATCCATGTCCGGCATATATCCAACAGTCATCTCTCCACACCAGACTTCAGCTGGTTCTGGCAACCTGGTGTTGATGTGTGCTTCTTATGTGATTTGGGACGTGATGGATATTATTGAACGCGATTCATCGCGCCACCATCTGCAAATGAATATGCGAAACTCCTGCAGAGCCGCAGCCGCAACGCATTTCTTCCAGTGCATGCTTCGGCGGACTAAGATCACAACAAAAACTGCGTTCAGAAGTTCACGGGTCAGATGGGACTTGCTGCAAGATACAAACACTATACATCTATCCAACTACCTGCCGTCGCCTGACTCACCCTTCATAGCCTCCCAATCATATGCAATTCTGCGGTTATCTTGTGTGAAACAGAGAACATCACCATAGTTATACAAGGCCACACATCCACGTCCGGTCTTCCGTCTAAGATAAGAAATAGAAAGGTTGACATTTACATTGTTGGAGAGGCGCACCATGGTATTCGATGTCAAAATGTGGGGGCGGGAACATGGGGATAACGAATATGCGCAGCCTGATCCTCTGATCTCTACTTCTCATCGGGGTACATGGCCTCCTTGAGAGGAATGCCGAGCTCCTCGCGTATGGGCTCGAGCTCCTGGAGGTACTCTGCGTATTGACCCTTGTTCTCGACCTTGAACTTGATACCTGTGACGTATGTTAGTAATCAACGTCTCAAGGTTGGCCGGATGCCGAAGTAGCGTAGTCCAGAGTCCGTTTGGCTCCCTTTTGTGTAGAAAGAGACAGGACTGATATTGGGAACGTAGTAGAAGACGTACCCTCGAAAACCCGGACAGCTGAGGGGAAGTCGTTCACGCGCCTGGCAGCGCGGAGAGCGGCGGTGATGACGGTGGTTGAGGGAACGAGATCGTAGGCGAAGCAGTTGTTCAGGTTTCGCTGGCGATTGTCAGCCTATTGACTCTGTTCGTGGCATCCCACAGTTGCCCAACCCATGTCGGGTGATACCGGTGGGGTCACATCGTGGAGACAACAACGTACCTGAAGCTCGAAAACGTCGTTCACCTTCTCGAATTCCTTCTCATATCTATATTGAAGAAGCACAAGTCAGCGATGGAGCTCGTCATATCCTCAATGGCGCTCAATGGCTGTCCATGATCTCCGCATGACTCCTGCCCGTCCGACTCTACAGCCCCTCCTCGGATTGGTCGTACCTGGCGGTGAATTCCTCGAATGTCTCCTCGGCATGCGCATCGCTCTTGCGGACAGCCGACTGCGAGAAAGCACGCTGGGTGTTCAACGCAACAGGGGTTGCTCGGTAGGCCGGGACTCGCACGCCCACTCGGCTGACCTTCGACGCGGCGCGGACGAAGGACATGTTGCGATTTGGAGAGCTACTGGCAAGCTACGGGAGGTGGATTCGGGGCTGCTGGGCGTGCGTAGCCGGCAGTGTGTCGATGAGTAGTGGTGTCGGTGGTGCGATTTCGCGTGAGGTTACGAAAACGAAAGCTCAGGCGATCCGAGTTGCGCCCAAGCCAAGCCGTCTTAAAAGTGGGTCGCACCCGTTCCTGAGACTGACGGCATAGTCGCGCTGCCGCACTTAATCATATAAATCACTGTTGAAGCATTCTTCAAATTCTAACCTGTATCTGAGTTCTCTTCATGCGCGTGACATCGCCTTTTTAGGCAATGCACGCCATTGTCTTTGAAGGTCCTTGAACAACGCTCCCAGCTATCTGTAGACAGGATTGAAGAAGCTAGATAAGAGAACAGCTATGAACGCGAGAACCAATATATTCTGGCTTTCATCCACAAGTGCTCACGCTTTCATAGAAACACTCGGAAGGTTTATACCCTGTAATAACCGCCAAACGGGACTGGTCCCTCTGATGCTGCTCGGACGGACATGACTGGGCTGTCGCTGTCGTCATCCAGCTCTGAGCTGCCAGACAGATCATCGTTCCTGCCACCGGCCTGTATCTCTTCGTCTTCGTCTTCATCCACCTCGCCATCTTGATCATCCTCGTCGTCCTCCGCATCCCCGATGTCAGCGTTCAGAAGAGTATCTGGCTGTACAGGATCTTCGGTCATGTCCTCCGGAACCTCGACGTCGTCTGGCGCCTCGTCTCCGTCAGCGTGGTTTTCTGGCTCATCAGTCTCCTCCATTTTCTCGAAGGCGTAGCGCGGATTCCTTGCAGCCCAACGCACGTTGTGCATCACTTGGTGTTCCCTCCTCTTCTCGTGGTGTGTGTGACGGTCGTCGACTTCACTCTTGTACTGCGCTGCCATTTCCTTATCGTCCCACAGCTCAGGCCATTCGACGATACGCTGATATATGCTATCATCCGGTTTGTCGCCGCCAATAATTGCGTTCATCTTGTCCTTCAGAATGACCGTTGCTTTGGCCCAAGTGCCAACGTGATACCACCCTTGGAAGGTGGGTGCACAAGTTGATCGAATGTCCTTTGTAGCCAAAACCTTCGCAATGAGAGGATCGGTAATATCGCAGAACTGGAAGAGGTTGCCTGTTCGCGAAACATTGACACCATCAAATGTGTGCTCAGTCTCCAACTCTTCCGGCGACATCTTTGCTAGCTTCAAGACATGCTGATCGAAGACCGCGCGGTGCTTTGATGTGCCTGACTTGATGTAAGACAGGAAAGACACAGTCTGATACTTGCGATATTCAGGGTCTTTGCGAGGATCGACTCCCCAACGGACAAGAGCCTCTCGCCAGGGCCCGCTTTCGAAGAAGAATCCGCAATAGATGGCTGCTTGCCGAAGCTTGGTTCTCTTGTCCCATCCCAGTCTGTTGTAAAGTAACTGCCGGGTTACTATGGGTCTCTGTAAGAGCAGAGTTCTAATGTTTGCAATCAGTGACTGCATATAGGGTGAGAGATCTCTCTCTGTTGGAAGACCGGGTCGGGGTCCTGTCGGTACATGTTCGTCTGTGGGTTTGACAATTGTGTATGCGTTGTAGGCGAGGCTTCTTTGTATATTGACAACACCTTGATCGGTGTATTTGACGTTTGAGTTTTGCTGGAACCGATAGTTGAAGGCGATTGGCATCTGTATGAACTCTGGCGATGGCCCAACGCTTTTGGCCAGATCTGCACCGGCCGCGGTGTTGACATTATACTTCAACAACTGTTCGTCTAGGATGGATTAGTGACATTTTGAGTGTGTTGGGATTAGTCTTACATCGTTTTGGCAGGACGTGGTCTCGCAGACCCACCATGGTCTCGTTGTGAGAAGCAGCATACTGCAAGTCAGGCATATCTGGAGAGTCAGTGATGGTTCCACAGAGTTCAAGATTGTGCTCGACTCACTTCGGAACCGATGAGTTTCATCTACGACTCCGGCCAGAGCAACCTTGTACATCGAGGCATTGTCTTGCAGGCTCCTGTAGATAGTTGGTGCATCCACATACGTCTTGTTGGTCAAAGTGATTTCATCTTCAGTAAGGAATGGCCCTGTGGTTCCACGCTTTCGTTTGCGTCCTGTCCGTTTTGGCACCGTGACCTTGATGAGAAGGTTGTTCGTCCTCACAGGCGTGGACAGCAAACGCTTGGCAAAGGGGTCGTCTGGGCGCAGCGAGACAGAGATGAGTTTCTTGAGCTCGTCGTCACCCTCGGCGTTGGTCGTGGTTTCCAATCGTGATCGCAGGCCCTGGGCGAGTGTTAGTCCCTCCCAAAGCGGTAGGCACTGCTATTGCCGGCTGACCTTGCTTAGTTTGACAGGCCCACCTAATGAGGTAATGCCCTTGTCAACGTTTTTGATGATGGCGGGATGCTCGACAACGGAGACGGCACGTGACGGGATAGGCAGCCAGGGCGCATGCTCGTTCTCGGTCGACATGGCGTTGTCCATATTGGGTTACCCGGTGGAGAGGTGCAAGCTCAAAACGCTCTGGCGGTGAGATTCACGAAAGTTTGTAGTCGCTCAAAGCTTTCTGTCTACTTCGGCCAGACTACCTGAGTACGCCCGTGGTAGGTGTTCGAGAGACAAGTGATGAGACCCTGGGCCAGTGCGAGGCCCGTCGCCGCTTCTCTATAGAGACAGGGATCGATCTCGCGATGACTCTCGTGCAAAGCGCCAGATCAGATGATACGAGGCTGCCGCGGGCCCAGCAGCGGAATAGACTCCCGTCTCTCGCGCAGTCGCTCCCTTGACACGCCCGCCGTGCTACTTCACTCTCGCAGCTATCCTGGATGTCGTGACGGCTGCGGCGGGGCTTTTGGCCCAAACGCACGGCCTCGCTACGGGACGGCTAGCGCGAATCACTCGACGCTGTCTGTCTGGCAGCAGCCCTGAGTTGTCAGTTGACGACCTGCTCCAACTTGTCCCTCCAGCTCCAGAATACACGCCTCTCCCTCAGCCAGAGCGCCTATACGTCACCAGCAACTTGCTAGGGCCCCGGCTGCCGTCTGACCCCCCCTCGCGAAGCTGCTCCCTCCACCGACTCCCCGTGCACCATCCTAGACGGCTACACTAGCCACCATCTATTACCTCACGCGTCTCTCCTCCATGTCGGCCTGAGCCCTACGCTCTCCTGTGTCCGATTCCCCGTGTGTGCGCCTGCCATCTAGTTTCCATTGGCGCTATCGGCTTGCGACCTGTCCCCCGACGCCTCGAGGCCAGCCGCCATCTCGGACGCCCGTTTCTGCAACACCGCTGCGCTTGACCTGGCCGTGGGCGCATTCCGACAGCCATGAAGGGCTTCAGGCAGAGGGTCGTAAGTGCTCGTCCTCCCCATGGACCCCGGCCACACCACGCACCCCCCTACCCCTCTCTATGCGCGGAGGCTAACATGTATAGTCCGAACAGCTCTCTCGAAGCAAGGATAGCAAGTCATCTAAGAAGAAGGACTCCACCTCGGGAACTGCATCGCCGTCGCTGGGTGCTTCCAACTCCCCCTCGGGCTCTGCCCAGGCTACGCCTTCCTCGTCGCAGACGCAGCTCACTGATGCGCGAAGCAAGAGCCAGCCCGCCGCCGATGGCGCTTCGGCCAACATTGGGTCGCTACAACAGAACCCCCAGCCCTCGTCCGGTTCCCTCGCGGGTGGACCCCAATCTTTCGGCGGACAGGGCATGATGAGCCCCGGTGCTGCTGGTAACGCTGGCGCTGCAGGTCCAGGCACGCCCTCTAGGCTGGGGCAGCCCCTGGCACCCAGCGTCGTCATCAGCCCAAGCGCGCCTGTAAGTACCCGCGCATCAACCGATATGTGTTTGGTAGGCTAACCAGTGCAATAGCATGTGCCTCCTCCTGGCGCTGCCGAGACGATGCCCGGTGATCTTGCGCCTCCAAAGGCGGGCCAGAAGTCGGGAATATTCGACCGTCTTCAAGCAACGCCCAAGGACAACATCGAGGGCATGCGAACCCCGAAGAGACAACACTCGTCGCGCTTCGACATCTCGGATCAACGTCAGCGTGAACTGGAAAAGCTCCCCGGATTCCACGAGGTGCCCCCGAACAAGAGAGAGGAACTCTTCATGCAAAAGATCGACCAATGCAACATCATCTTCGACTTCAACGATGCTAGCGGAGACATGAAGTCAAAGGAGATCAAGCGCCTGGCTCTGCACGAGCTGCTCGACTATGTCGCCAACAACCGCCAGGTCATCACCGAGAAGATGTATCCACGCGTCGTAGAGATGTTCGCGAAGAACTTGTTTCGTCCTATCCCGCCCCCGATGAATCCCCAAGGCGAAGCTTTCGACCCAGAGGAAGACGAGCCGGTGCTGGAAGTAGCGTGGCCGCACATTCAGGTAGTCTACGAGTTCTTCCTTCGCTTCATCGAAAGCCAGGACTTCAACACGAACATTGCCAAAGCGTATATAGACCACAGCTTCGTGCTAAACGTACGTACACGACCTGTCCTCTAGATTCCCCTAGCTAACACCAGCAGTTGCTCGAGCTATTCGACTCTGAAGACCCCCGGGAACGCGACTTCTTGAAGACTACGCTCCATCGCATATACGGCAAATTCCTCAACCTCCGCTCCTACATCCGCCGATCCATCAACAACGTCTTCTTCCAATTCATCTACGAGACAGAGCGCTTCAACGGTATCGCCGAGCTTCTCGAGATTCTCGGGTCCATCATCAACGGTTTCGCTTTGCCATTGAAGGAGGAGCACAAGCTATTCCTCACGAGGGTACTCATCCCGCTCCACAAAGTCAAGAGTCTGAGCATGTACCATCCACAATTGGCGTACTGCATTGTCCAGTTCTTGGAAAAGGACGCGGCATTAACAGAAGAGGTAGGGACATACGCCAGATCCAATAGGCTAGGCTTACACGTTCAGGTTGTTTTGGGTCTTCTCCGCTATTGGCCAAAGGTGAACAGCACCAAAGAAGTCATGTTCCTGAACGAAGTAGAGGACATCTTCGAGGTTATGGACCCCGCCGAGTTCGCAAAAGTTCAGGAGCCGTTGTTCAACCAGTTAGCCAAATCAGTGGCCAGTCCTCATTTCCAGGTCGCCGAGAGAGCGCTGTACTTCTGGAACAACGAGTACTTCTGTAATCTGGTTAGCGACAATGTCGAAGTCATTTTGCCAATCATGTTCGCACCGCTGTACGAAAACTCAAAGGGACACTGGAACCGGTACGTATCTGAACTCTGGTGACATGGCTTGCTTGCTGACTATCTGCCCAGAACCATCCACGGCATGGTGTACAATGCTATGAAGCTCTTCATGGAAGTAAACCCGCAACTCTTCGACGACTGTTCGCATGACTACGCCGAGTCACAAAACAACGCAACGCAAAGACAGCAAAGTCGACAAGATCGCTGGGACAAGCTCGCCAAGCTCGCCGAGTCACGTTCAAACGGCACTGCAGAGAAGTCCGCCGTCGACCCGATGCGTATGGATGACTCGGAGTCACGTTTGGAGAACCTCCGTCTACAGGATGACGGAACAGCATCGAGAGAGAGGCGGCCAAAGGAATATGAGCGTCAAGGCAGCCAAACCTCGGTACGTTGATTCTTAAGTCCCTAGAACTCTGGATGAGCATTCTGTGTGGCCGAATCGATGTACTCTTAATTCTATCCCTAGACTCCTAGGTTTTCTTCCTTTTTTCCCAAGACTTGCATTTCGGTTCAGGTGGATCTGACGTGTTTGTGCTTTGCGTCTTTGTAGCGACGGCATCATACTTCGCAAGGGGAGCACCACGTTTCGTCCAGCGCTCGCCGCTCGGCTGGCCGACCACGTAGCAACAGTCGCCCGAATTCCTCTTCTGGCCATGTCGTCTCGTCGCGACCATCAGGTGGACGTGCAAGGTCGAATTCTGGAGGTACGATTACCCGGGTTGTTAGCTCTTGATTTCTTGGGTGCATCCATTCTCTTCTCTTTTTGCTGCCTTGCTTCACTGCCAGTCTTTTGAGGGCTGATTGTAGTCGCGATATCATGTGGTTTATCTGGCATCAAGCGTCGCAGTTTCTTTGGTTCTTCCCAAAACAACATGGAACGTTTCATTTGGGTGTTCCGGATGATGTTTCTTGTGAAAGACGACGAAATAGGGACTTTCTTCACTGATAGACGCGGAATATAAAGAATTTCTAAAGACTTTTGATTGCTTTGCAGATCAATCGCAAGCTGTGCGATGTTGAGAACTATCGTGAGCTCTCGTAGGAGGCTTCTTTCACGGATGAGTGGTATTGTTGTTTACTTCGTGCGCCTTGTGGTAGCCAGTGCTGAAAGGGTTGCAAGGGAAACCCATACTGTCGAAGCCATGCAGGCTAAAATTACCACGCGAATAGACACGGGGAGCCGCATAGGTTTCCTGGTTATCCGGTTTGGGAGGTCGCTAACTTCAAGGGGGGCCTCGGCTTTCGGAACGCCAAGATATCCGACTCGATGCCATGTTCTGGGAGGCTTTGCTTCTACTTTGCGACAAAGGCCAACGTGTGGTTCGCGCCGAGTGAACCGCAGAGACAATGGACAACGTTTGCATTACAGGACTTTACGTCAGTTAGGCCTAAGTGCACGCTATCCACGAGCCAGCGTGGTAATGCATGTGTGTGAGAACATGGTAAAGGTAGTCAGCGGCGGTCAGCAGCGATACCAAAGTAAAAGGAGAGCAATACAGTAGCGTAGCCAATAGTAAACAAGTCAATGGCCTCGGTCTGCAATGTGTCGTAATTTGGACGTGCAACGGCGCGTTGGGCCCAGGTGCGGGAGAGGCGGAAGACCCCAGCAGTCATTTCCGACCTCCTTTCCGCGCGCAGCCAGAAAACATTGCTGGCCCTTCATAACCTTTTGCGCATCACCTCCATCTGGCTCGGTGTGAGATTTACTTCTTCACATTTTCTCGTCACTCCTTTGTGCTTTGCACTTGCTCGGTCGCGGTTGCCTTCTCTTCCTCCACGTTTGTCTTGTTTACCTAGTCGCTTTGCTAGGCTCAACCCTTTAAATCCCCACGTCCAGGGCTTCCACCGTTCCGAACACCACAACACCAACCTCGACAGTCCCAACTCATACTCGCACACAATGGGTGGCCCAGATTGGCTTGAAGTCGGCGCGCCGACGCTCGACCGTCCCTTTGGCCTGGCATTATGGCCTATTTTCGAGAAATGCTTCGAGCCCATCGCGGGCTACAAGCCCCAGGACTTCCGCTTCGTCCAAGGAGAGACGCCGCTCTCGACATTCAAGGTCTGCGTTGTCACGCTGATTACCTACTACATCATAATCTTCGGCGGACGAGAGCTCATGCGCAACCGTGAGCCCTTCAAGCTCAACTTTCTCTTCAAGGTCCACAACTTCTACCTCACGGCGATCAGCGGCACCCTACTTCTCCTCTTCGCTGAGCAATTGATCCCCATTGTTGTCAGGAAGGGTCTTTTCTTCGCCATCTGCGACCACCAGGGT